CTACCTGAAAAAATGGTTCCTCTCTGACTTCTTCCTACATGTTCTCAGTGACAGAGGATTCATTACTGCCACCGTGCCCCACCTTCCAGTGCGGCAGCCCCATTGAAGGAACAGTTGTGAAATTCTTCATCTGACTGAAACTTCTAGAAACTTCTAGCACTTGGCTAGTGTTCTGACCTCTGTGATTGTAGAGGACACTCTACGAGCTGCTCCCCAGGTTTTCTTGCCTGTTCTTGAGGCTGAACAACCGTTGTTGTTAACAGTCCTGTAATTTGGTCTTGTCTCCTACATCCTGTCAGCTTCATTTGGACATCTAGTTGGTCAATTTTCCCTCCAAAATGTGAGCATCTTCTCACCAGACCAAATCTGAGCTGGTCTGGTTCCTCCATGGCTCTGGACACTTGTCCTCTCACTCTCTCCTCACCCCCCCACCCCCCACCCCCGCCAGCTCCCCAGTGTTTGCTGTGGCAGCCGTGCCCTGCTAAGACCAGAAAGTTCTGCTGGAACCAACTGCAGGCCCTGGTCTGCTTGACAAGTAGCTGGACCTTAGAGCCATGTGTAGTACCCAAGCACAAGGGCTGTGTATCCAGCATGCTGTGCTGAGGAGACCCTGGCCCTGACCCTTCACAGGTGGGGAAACTGAGATCCAGAGAAGGAAAGTGACTTACCCAAGATTGCACAGCAATGCTGGACTCTAGGTCTCTGGGGGCTGGATTCCTGCCTCCTCTGTGGCTTTCTTGCTCCTAAGTTTCCTGTGACTCGGGAAGCTGCTACCCTTCTTCATTGCTCAGTCCAGATGCTTCCCCCCAGCCCTAGCCTCCCCACCCTCCCCCTGTTTGGAAGGGGAAATTCTTGTGTTCCCTCCTTTCAGCTCCTGTCCTCACTATCCACAAGGTGCACTCTACTCTGTGACCTCAGACGAGGAAGTGGCCAGGGCTCAACCTGGAGGTTGAGTCCTACTCAGTCCTGGCCACGAGTCCTCAGGCTTCCGTGGGCTTCAGGTTCACCCGGATGGTTGCTTAAAATAGAGATTTCCAGCATGCACGTGCCCCTGTGGATTCTGGGACTGGGCTTGGGGATTGTGGGAAGCACGCACCTATGTGGTTCTCACCCAGAGACCACGTTCCTAGAATGCTGTTCCAGGCATCATGCCAGAAATGGGGCATGGCTTCAAAAGTGGTCCCTGCGAGACGCTGGGGCTCCTGCCTGCAATCCTTGCTGCTCAGGAGGCAAAGATCGGGAGGATTGAGGTTCGAAGCCAGCCTGGGGAAAATAGTTTGCAAGCCCCTATCTCGAAAAACCCATCACAAAAAAGGGCTGGTGGAGTGGCTCAAGTGGTAAAAGTGCCTGCCTAGCAAAGATGAGACCCTGAGTTCAAACCCTAGTACTGAAAAAAAAAAAAAGGGTGGTTCCTGTCTCCAAGGAGCCCCTTGGGTGGCCAGGAGAGACAGCTGGTTAGCCAGGTTAGCTCTCAGGAAAGCCTGGACCATAGGCAAGGCAGGACCTGATCCAACCCCGGGTTGAGCTGAGAAGCCTGAGAACTAGTTGCTGCACCTCATGGTGGATGGTCTTGAGCAGCTCGGTGTCTTGAATACATGGATGCGTGTGCTGGAGCCAGAAGGGCCACAGATAGCACTGGGTGGTTTTGATTTGATTTGGTTTTTTAGCAGTTCTATTTTTGGTGGTTTTGGTGGGTTTGTGCTTGCCATGCCTCCAGCCCTTTGATTTGTTTTTGATCTAACAAATTTGCCAACATTTGTGGAAAAGGAAGCCGGTTCTTTGTGTGCCATGTATAGGTGAGAAAAATAGTAGAATCTTTTTTCACAGCCAGGGTACAGCCAAGAACAGTAGATAAGCACACAATGTTACTTATTTATTACTTTTGGTGCTGGGGGTTAAACCCTGGACCTTGTACATGCTAAACAGAAGCTGCACCATGGAGCTATACCCTCAGCCCCTGTTCAAAATTTTGTAAGTCTGCATGTTGACTAAAGCACCATTTTCAAATTAAACATGAAAATAATCTATTCAATAGTAAATTAAATTACTAAATTCATCTACAGGGATGTTCTACTTAAGTCATTAAATTTAATACATTTACAAGGACTGGGTGTGGTGGTTCATGCTTGTAATCGCAGCTACTTGGGCAGCAGAGATGGGAGGATTTCACTTTGAGGCAAAATGTCAATGAGACCTTTCTCAAAAACAAACCTGGTATGGTAATGTATACCTGTAATCCCAGCTATCCAGGAAGTGATAGGAGGACCACCAATGGCCTGGGAAAAAATGCAAGACGCTATCTGAGAAACACTAAAAGCAAAAAAGATTGGGAGCATAACTCAAGTGGTAGAGCACTTGCCCTGCAAACGTGAGGCCCGAGTTCAAGCCCCAGTACTACAAAAAATAATTAATACATTTACAGAATAGTTAATGCTGTAGAGTAAATGCTCATATGTTTGAAAAAGTAAGAAACAGTAAAGTATATATAATATTCCAATTCCAAATATGAGCATGGTGTACGTGTAAGTCACCGTGTCCTAGGGTTATCTGTATGTTACGGAGTTTTGTTTTATATTTTTCTGTATTTTCCATTCTTTTTACAATAAATGCTTACTACTACTGTAACTGGAAAAATATGTTTGCAAATATTTAAGTATTAAGAAAGTGATGGGAGAGTCTTGGGTGGAGAAAGAGGGAGAGGGAGGGAGGGAGAAAGGAAGGAAGGAAATAAGGGAATAAGGGAATAAAGGATGGAGGACAGACCACATTGGGTCTCGAATGTCAGGTCTCAAATGTCGAATGTCATTTGAAAGGTGCTGTCCTGGGAATGGTTCTGATAGGCTCTGAAGGATCCAAGCTCAAGCAAGGTCACGTCCTGCTTGTGCTCTGGCAGCTGTCTGGAGAAGTGTTCTCCACCCTCCTATGGTCGCTGCTATTTGGCAGAACTTCTGATCTTATTTCAGATGACAAAATAGAAACTGGTGGCAGCCCGAGGGACCTGCCACAGCCCTGAGGGGTCTTCACTGTCACTTTCTCAAATGGAAAGCACGACCTTTTGCAGTATCTGAGCTCCTAGGCTCCTAGGCTGTGCTAGATCTTTAGGGGTGTTGTTTCTGATAGCCCTTCATGAGCACACTGAGGCCTGGAGAGGTCAGACAGCCACACAGTGTTGGGTTTAGGATTTGAATCCAGATCTGGGTGCTTCTAGAACCCTGGAGTTCTTAACTACTTTGCCCCACAGTGTAAAATTCTGACACCTGGTTCTGTGCTCACTTAGACATATCGGCACAGTACCACCATGTCTTTTGTTGTTTTTTGGTTTGGCTTTTTGCATTTGTTTGTTTTGCGACAGGGTTTTTCTATGTAACCTGGGCTGGCCTCAAACTAGTGATCCTCCTGCTTCAGCCTCCCATGTGCTGGGATTACAGTTGTGCACCACCATACCTGCCTATGATCTTGTCTTAAACCCCCTAGAGCCTCAGTTTCCTCTCTTGTAATAACCAGATACTTGGGGCTCAATCCTCATGGGGACTGTGGAATTAAATGGCTAGACTTCCTCTCCTCTCTCCTCTCCTCACAGAGGAGGAAACAGACCCCTGGGGAGGAGTGGGAAGTGGGGTGGGGGGAACTTGGCCATGTTTGTAGCAAAGCCAGGACTAGAGTCCAGGAATTCTTGCTCTTACAAAAACATTACTCCAATTCAACAAAACCAGTGATGGCAACAGGGAAGAGCCAAATGTCTGCCTTATCTCCTCCTTACTCCAGCCCAGGGCAGGGAGGCTGGCTGCTGTCACTTCCCCAGATTCCTGTGTTGACACCCTCCTCCTCTCCCCTGGGAAGACAGGGCTGAGTCCTCACCAAGTGAGTGGGAGCCACACCATCAGGCTGGCCCAACCATGGGCGGATCAGACACCAGGGCCTGGGGGAGGCTCTGTGCGTGGCACTGTGAGGGAGGGGCAGATGAGTCTAGAAGCCTTCTCTAGGTTATCTTTCCTCCCCAGTCACAAGTGTGCTTGGCAGCAGTATTTCAGTGAGTCTTAACTTCAAGTAGTTTTTATTCTAATAATTACCTTTTGCAAACCTGTTACCATCATAAAAAGTAGTGTTTTGCTTTTATGGTACTAATTTACTATTGAATATTTTTGTAATTTTTTTTCAGGAGCTGACATCCTTTTTTAAAGCGTTTTATAAAATGAGGCCTAGAACATTTTTTTTCCTTCTTAGAATATGTGAAAAGTGTGTAAAAGGTCTGAATTGTTTTTCTACCCCAAGTCTTGTCCAGTGACGGGTGCCAGACCTTGACCAACTTTTTCACTTATCTGGGCTGAAATGAAGAAATGATTTGTTTCTGTATCGTGGTGCTGGGGATGAACCCAAGGCTTTGCGCTTGTAAGGAAAGCTCTACCACTGAGCTACACCCCAGCACTGAAATGAGAAAATTAAACACGTGGGGGGAGTGTGTAATACTGAGTGCATCAGGTCCCCTTTCCTGGAAGAACTGCCCCTGAATATCCCTTACTGTGTTTTGGAAGGTGAAAATGTCCTTTATTTGTAGTAAGCACCTACAAATTATTTTTTTCAGTATCCTTGGTCATTAACTCCTATCAACTCTCCCATTAAAAAATACTCCTGGGCAGGGGGGAAAAATGAACGAAGCCTTGTGTGCACATATGAATAATAAAAGAAAAATGAAAAAAAAAATACTCCTGGTTGGGCGTGGTGGTGCACACCTCTAATCCCAGCACTCAGGAGACTGAGGCAGGAAGATCGTGACTTTGAGACCAGCGTGGACTACATAGTGAGACCCTATTTCAAAACAAATACATCTCTTCTCCTCATGAGTGAAATCTGGGTACCACCATGATTTTTGACATGGAGAGAGAGCCTTTCTGCACCTGGTACTCACTGATCAGGTTCAGCCAGCAGTGGCCAAGGTTGCCTGAGGTGCCCACTAGGTAATGGCTCAAATACCTGGCTCATTGTTGTCTTGTTTCTTCCAGAGGCACCAAGAGCCAGATCAACTATCCCACCCAGAACCACAGGAATTGGGTCCCCTTAATAAGGACACAGGTGAGTAGCCAACCCCACCGTAATAATCAACAAAACTGACAGAGCTACCTAAATATCTCATGAGACCTTAAGTGGGTCATATTAATGGAAGTACTTTGTATTAAATCAGGGAGGTGATAATCCCCAGAGCTTCCCTGCTCTGAGCTGATGATATATACGCCACACCTACTGTGCTATGTGTATTTCTGGATAATACATTTTCAGAGATTCAGAAAAACTGGAGGGAATACATCAGAACATAATCAGGCTGGTAAAAAAATCTGGAAAACAGATCCAACATGGATCCATTGAAGGATCATAAAATGTCCCATGTGGAAAGAAGACATTGTCATAAAACAACAGTTGTGTCCAAGTGTCTGAAGTCCCCTGATGGAGAAGAAAGATAAGCTTTGTTCACAGTGACCCAGAGGTTAGTACTAGGGCCTTAAGGCAACAATAGTCTGCAGACTGAATTCAGCCCAGCCTCAAAGAAATGTTTGTGTAGCTGTTGGTTTAAAACCCTCAGCTACTTGGTGACAGAATGAGCTCCCTGCCTCAGGTGTCCTGTTACAGCCAAAGGGCTGCCAGTACATGGATTGTAGGTGATGTTCAATACTGATAAGCAATCAGACCAGAATTCTGAAGCTCTTCAGTTGACAATATAAAAATGACCTCAAGGACATCAAAAACACAGGTCTGGGGACCTACAACTGATGAACTCAATGCAAATCCCTGAAGAATGCATTGTTAGAGAGGAGATAGCTTTTAAAATCAGATCCTCTCTAGACAGGCCGCTCTATCATGCTATCAGGCTGATATCATGGACCAACGTGTGAGCTACAGGATTTATGACGGTCTGCACTGTCTGACCTTGACCATTGCTGTCCCCTAACCTCTATCTTCTTGTGGAGCTTGGGACTGAGGGAAAACAGCTCCCACTTTATCCTGATGGGACTGACCACAGCGTTGGCGATTGCCTCATCCTCACATCTCTGCCAGGCCCTGCCTGTCATTCTCAAATTATAGAACTAACAGTAACGCTGGTGACACTAGAATTAGCTGGCCATGAGCACTGTTGAACCTGTAGGGGAAATGTTTAGTGAACAATTAGAATAAACACCTCCAGAGTGCCTGGCACCCCATTTCTTTTTGGGTACAAGAAGCCAGAAGAAAGGGAGGAATTAGGTGTGTTTGCCATACTCCCTGAGTGTGAGCTGGGTGATCTTAGACAACCTTCTGTGCCTCAGTTTCCTCCTACATGAAATGGGCATAAACAATACCCACCAAACTAGTTATTTTGTAAACTAAGTGAATATTTGTGAGGTGCTTGGAACAGCACTGGGTGTGGTACACTCTCAGGACTCCTTATCTGCTTTTATTATTTTTATTGTTTTTTGATTTAATGATCTCAGTAGCTCCATAAGGATGCACCGTTCTTATTCTGATTCCACACATTAGCCAGCTGAGGCATGGAGGATGGGTACTGCCCTGGGTCATGCCCAGCCTCTGTTAGACTCCAAGTAGCACTGGCAGGGCCTATTTTGGAGTTCCTGAAGCAAAGGGTAGATTTCCTAGTCCAGTCTCCTTCCTGGTCACAGGCACCTCTGCCTCCAGCTGGGGAGATGGTAAAGGCAAGGGGGTCACAAACTGAAATACTTACAGGCCCTCTCAGGTAAAGAAAATGACAAGGTGGCCCCTTCTATACCACAGAGCCAAGTCCTTGCCAAAAAGGCAGCTGAACCTCGGCTCCAGCCCCTGTTGACATAGAGGCATCCCTTGCTGTTCATTGGATTCTTCAGAAAAAGTTGGAAATCTGTATTATTAAGTAAAAGCTATTTAATCTCAGCAACTACTTATTTCCTAATTGAGATGTTAGTTGGAGCAAATAGAACACTCTTAGAGTCCCAACTGCCCTGCGAGTTGCCAGCCCTGCTGCAGATACCAGGGGACAAATGAGACCACCAGCTCCTGCCTTGAAGGTGCATCTCCAAGGCCAGAGCGCTCTTAGGGGCTACCTCTGAAGCCATCCTGAAGGTGGAAACCTCCGTGCTCCCCCTTCCACCCTGGCCTCCCACACCCTTTCCATGGGCCCTGACCCCTCTGCTCTGCCTAAATTTTTTGAGTTCTCACCTCCAGCCACAAATGTCCAGCTATGTGCATCTGAGGAATCCAAGCAGCACCAGAAGGACATAACCAGAATCCTCCAGCAACATGAAGAGGAGAAGAAATGGGCCCAACAGGTAAGTCCTAGTTACCCCTGCCTGGCCCTTTTCCCCCTGATAATCCCCAGGGAAGAACTGTTGTAAGAATCTCAATCTTTTGCACAAAAGGGAGTCCTTGACCTACTGGGCACATATTTATATTGGGCCACTACAAGCCAGCGCATTGGCTGAGGCCAGCAGAGCCGGCAGCTGCTATCACAAAGCTACTTAATTAAGAAGAGTCAAAGTCGTTGGTGCTGTTCAATTCATTGCCCTTCTGGCCCACCTCTTGGTTGGATGGGGCATTGAACTAGTTATGGCGGATGATTGTGTAAGGAAGACCAGCGTTACTTTCCCACAAGGTCACTTCCGGCAGCAGGGGTCATTTACGGCTAAGCACTTAATTGCTGATTTGAGGCACCCCGAGGTCTTTTGCTCTAACTAAGAGACTGGTGTTGCTGGAAATAGCGATGCTCCAGTGACCTGTCTCCCTGGATAATGATCCTGAACATTAAAGATCCCTACCTACCCAAAATGGAGATATAGTGAGTAAAAAATAACCCTTTTGTTTTAGGCCACTGAGACTTTGCCATGTTTGGCTATGGCAGCATAGTTTATTCTGCCTGAGACAAAAAAATTAAAAAATCAGGTGTTAAACACAACTACAGCCTGATGTGATGGCACACACCTGCAATCCCAGCACTTTGAAGGCTGAGGCAGGAGGCTAGAGAGTTCAAAGCAGAGGGGGGGCGGGGGAGAAGAAGAAAAGAAGGAAGAAGAAAAAGAAAAGAAAAGAGAAGAGAGAGAATAAAACCCAACTACTATAATTTTACTACAATTATAAGGGCTATAAAAAGTTTAGAGAGAGCTGTGAAAATACATAGTAGAAGCACTCAACCAAGTGGGGAGAAGATCAGAGGCCTCTGAGGAGGTAATGCCAAGGCTTTCAAAATGATTTGGAAATGAAAATTGAGGGACATTTCGCACAGTCATCAAGTTCTATTAGTCAGATGTCATGGTCACAGAAGATGTGGAAAGATGGAGGAACAATTCCAGATTAAAGGAGACTAAAGAGGATGACAACTGAATACAACCTAAGCCCAGGATTTCCTCTTCCTCATTCCTGGCTGGGTCACTACCCTTCCCTTCTGTCTGCCTCAGCTTCCTCCCTTAGCAGGGGAGGTGCTAAAGCAGTAAGGAGATCTTAGGATGGTGTACAAATGCTTCCTCTAAATCATCTGCATCTGCGAAATTCTGAATCTCAAAGTCTCTTTAAAAATGGCTCTGTTGTTATAAATTAATTGTTCCATTAAATTGTGTGGTTTGCTTGTTGCTAAGAGGGGTACAGGGGGAGTCAAGTCCAGAGCCTGCCCTCCAGGTGCATCCCAAACACACTAGAACATTCTTTCCTGGACATGAGTTCCAGAAACACCTTTTATGAGAGGTGGGTTAGCTGTGTGTATATGTGGGTCTTTAGTTTGCTTTGATAGAATCATCATCTTGATGTTGTTTGACCCTGACATTTTCTGTGGAATTTTAACTGTGAGACTTGACAGGGTCACTACAGACCACAAGTTGCCCCCCCTCCCCCGCACCACCTCCTGAGGGGAAAAGGAGCTGGTCCCAGATCACACAGGCTGGGGCTAGAACCCCCTTTCAGCTGTGCCTTGCCTGTGGGGTACCTACCAGCTGTGCCCTTAAAGGACTGGGAAACATCTCAAGTGTGGGACAGTGAGCATGGCTGAAGAGGCACAGCTCTCTGAGGGGCTGTCTGGGCTGAGGGAGCAGACTGGCTCCATGGGACCCAGGAGGGCAGAAGGTAGAGGGAACTTGCCACAGGTCTGCCCATGGTTAGAATAGCGGCCTGGGAAGGGAAGGAGCTGTTGCTTGTTATACAGAGCAACAGAAGAGGGAACTCAGTAGAGGAACCTCTAGCCTCCTGCCTCTACTGAGTGTCCAGATCAGACTTCCAAGACCCTTCCCACCTAGATAATCCTCTGTGAACCCTTCCTGAGCCCTAAAGAGGGTAAAGCCTGCCATGCCAACCATGACTTGGAAGTTTCCTGCCCTCTCCGGCCCCCTTGGAGATGCTAGGCTAAACCTGCTCAGTCTCGCTCCTGGCTTGGACTCTTCACCCAGATGGAGAAGGAGAGGGAGCTAGAACTTCGGGAGAGACTGGACCAGCAGCGAAGAGTCCTGGAAGGAAAATACAAGGAGGCCCTGCAAGGTGAGGATGGAGGTGATGTGAGAGGCTCTTCCTCCTGCCCCTCCTGCTGTGCTCATCTGGGGCTTCCACAGGGCCCCTCTCCTCCCTCTGGGCCACAAGTAGACAGCTACTCCAAAGCTGGAGTTTACAGGATCCTTGGTCTTAGGGCAATGATAGAATTTTCCTTTGGGCATGACTGTGTATGTGTATGTATGACAAGGTCTTGCTGTATAGCCTAGGCTGCCCTTGAACTTGCAATCCTCCTGCCTCAGTCTTCTGTGTACTGGGATGACAGGCGTGCACCACTGCCAGCTAGGGCATGACTTTAAAAGTCTGGCACCATGCTTTGCTTTTTACCATTTTTGAGAGGATTTTTCCCTTTCTATTTTAAATGCAATACATATTCATTAAAGGAAATTTAGAAAACCTACGCAAATAGAAGAACTTTAAAATATCCATCTTCCATCCCCACAGTGATGATAGCTCTTAATATTTATGGCTAGGCTGAGTATTTCTTAAAATAGCACTTCCCTCTTCTCTTATCAAATGTGTTCGTCATAGCAAATTTAGAATGTATGAATTAAACTTAAAGATCTTATAGCATAGAGGTTAAGTTCCCATTCTCTGAAGCCACAGACCTTGGGTTTGAATCAGCCAACTCCACTCCTTCCAGCTGGAGAACCTTGGAACCTTGGAGACCTCCCTCACAGGTCTTTGTGACAGTTAAACAGTTGAATGACAGACAGATAGTATTTAGAACAGTGCAAGATACTTGGTGAGTACTTGCTAGTACTTCTTATTTGATTCTTGAGAAAACTTACACTGTGTAATTTTATCCAGAGCTAGTCACTGTCCCAACCTCTTTTGTATAGGTCACTTTCATTTCTTTATAAATATATAGAATATATGTCTATAAACACATTAGTAACTTGATTTTTTTTTTACTTTGAATTTAACTAGCATTCTGTCAATAAACTCTTCTTTAAGTTTTAGTAACAGTAAAGCATTGAGTATGCACCCTCTTCATTTAACTGAATCCCATCTGTTTAGTTAATATTTAGGTAATTTCAAAAAAATTTTGCCACTATTTATAATAGCCATCAGTGAACTTCAGTTTGTAAAATTTTGTGTGTGTGTGGTACTGGGGTTTAAACTCAGGGCCTACACCTTGAGCCATTCCACCACCTCTTTTTTTGTGATGGTTATTTTCGAGATATGAAACTATTTTTGAGCTATGAACTATTTGCCTGGGCTGGCTTTGAACTGCGATCCTCCTGATCTCTGCCTCCTGAGTAGCCAGGATTACAGGTACGAGGTTTTGATCACATTTAAGATTTTATCTTGAGAATAACCTCCTAGTAGATTTGGTGTGGCAAAGTTTGTGTGTCTATTTTTTGTACTGGTAAAATAGACAATTCTACATGTGACAGTCAGTGCATTCACAGTGCCAAGTAAGCAGTGCCAGTGTTCCAGAACATTCTCATCTCCCCAGGAGGAAACCCCACATCTGCATGTAGTCACTCCTTAGCCTCCCACCAGCCTCTGGCAAAGGCTGCTCTGCTCTCTGCCACCATGGCCTTGTCCATTCTGGACACTCACATCATCCAACCTGTGGCCCCACACATCTGGCTTCCTTCACCCAGTATGTTTCTAAGGCTTATCCATACTATAGCTTGTGTCTGCACTCCATTCCTTTTTATGGCTGAATAATACTCCACTGAACAGACACACCTTACTTTGTCTACCCATCCGTCAGTTGGCGGATCTAAGCTGCCTCTACCTTAGCCCCTGTGAATGATGCCATTGCCTCAGCACCTGCTTGATCAGCTCTTCAGTTCCCCTGGGTGCCCAGCCAGGAGAATTGCTGGGGAATGTGGGATTTTGAGAAGCCACTGAGCTCTTGTCCACAAGGGCTGGACTACTTACATTCCCAGGTTCTCCGTGTCCCACCCTGCATGTCATTTTATTGCTGTCCTGACATGTGCTTCTGACTTGCATTTCCCTGGTGACTAATTCTGTCGAGCATCTTTTCGTGTGAGTGGTGGCCAGTCATACATCGTCTTGTAATTTTCCACCATCTTACACTGTCCTCCCAGTGAGTGTGAGCGCCATCTCATTGCGGGGCTTCTCTTTGTGTTTTCTTTCTATGTGTGACTTTGTTTTGTTTTATTTTTTGACAAAGCACTTGTGAAGCAGGTGCTCTACACATTAAGCCACACCTCCAGCCCCCTCCCCCCTTTTTGGTGGGACTGGGGTTTGAACTCAGGGCTTCACTCTTGCAAGAAAGGCTCTGTTGTTTGAGCCATACCTCCAGTCCATTTTCCTCTGGTTATTTTGGAGATGGGAACTCACATACCTTTTGCCCAGGCTGGCCTTGAACCATGATCCTCCCGATCTCAGCCTCCCAAGTAGCTAGGATTATAGGTGTGAGCCACTGGCACCCGGCAACAGTAGGAAATCTTTTATTGACATATTTATAGTACTAAAAATAGCATCAAAGCAATGGTAGGAGGACAATTTGTGTCCCCATAAATCCTTGGGAGGGAGAGCAGGTAGATTTCAGGCGGAAATGGAACTAAGAACCCAGGATGTTGAGCCACAGACCAGGTCTGTTGCAGGGTGTGTTAACATTGCAACAGCTCTTTAAACTCCCAGGTAGGTTCTATTTCCATTTCAACATGTTTTGTGCTAATGTTGCAATATGTTTCAAGCTTCTTAAAATTGCTCAGACTTCTGTTCTAGTTAGTCGAATCTGAGGACCTACTGTGAAATGGCGGCGTACAGTTATGCAAAGGACATTCAGAGCAGTGTTATTTACAGTAGCTCAAATCTAGATGTCTAGACTCACAGGAAGTAAGCAAATGTCTGTGATCTAGCCCTTGTAAACATTTTGTAACAGCACACTTGCAAACATAGTTGATATAATTTAAATGAAAAGATACATTTTTCATGTGATTGTTGGTCTTTTGTATAAAATAATCCTGTGTTTTTAAAAAAAATAATTCTGAAGAGAGGTCATGCTAATCTGATGATGAGAGGACAAAAATCTGTATAGCATTTTCAAGGTCAATTTCAATATTGTCAAAATATATCTAACATTCTCCAAAGAAGACATATAAATTGCCAACAAGCTCATAAAAAGATACCCAACAAATCAGTCATTGGCAAAATGCAAATCAAAAAGTCACAATGAAGCTGGCCACGGTAGGTGGCTCGTGCCTGTAATCCTAGCTACTTGGGAGACTGAGATCAGGAGGATCAAGGCTCGAGGCCAACCCAGGCAAATAGTTCACAAGACTTCATCGCCAAAATAACCAGAGCAAAATGGACTGGAGGTGTGGCTCAAGCAGTAGAGTACCTGCTTTGATTTGAGTTCAAATCCCAGTCCCACCACTCTCCCAAAAAAATCCTACTGTAAACCCAAAGAGGAAGGAATTGTTTATCCTGCATTCTTCACTAGTCACAATCTCTTTATTTTTTAATTACTTGGCACATATTAAGTGCTACATAAGTGTGTTGAATGAATAAAGTCATAGCCTGGGGGAAATACGCAGGATTTCATTTATTTGGGGGAGTAATAAGTAACTGGGGCAGACTGGGGGTTCCACATTTCATGACCCTTTGTTATCTTTTGTTTTTATTTTCTATTTTTAAATTATCACACAGTAAAATTTACTTTTTGTGTACAGTCCCATAAATTCTCACACACACATTCATTTGCCCCCACAATCAGTGTGTAACACAGTTCATCACCCCCAAACTCTCTGTCTACCCTTTCGTGCTCACACCCACCCACACCCCAATCTTTGGTGACACTGACCTGTCCTCCATCCTTATAATTTTGTCTTTTGGGAGCTATTATATTAATGGACTAATATAATATGGCTTTCTGTTGGCTTCCTTTGATCATCATCATGCCTGTGAGATTTATTCAAGTTGTTGCATGTCTCAGAAATGCATTCTTTTTCATTGCTGCATCGTATTCCATTGTTTGCTCATTTGCTTATTGCAAAACATTTGGATTATTTCCCGCCTGAGGTGATTGTGAGCAGAGCTATTCTAAACATCCACAGAGAAGCTTTTGTGTGGACATGTGTTCTCTGTGCTGAACGCAGCAGTGGGGTTGATAGGTCATACAATAAACACATGAGAAACAGCTAAACTGTTCTCTACCATCAGAGATGAATCGCTTCCTCTGCTCCTTCCTGCCAACGTTTGTTGTTGTCGTCATATTTTTCATTTAAGCCATTCCAGTACTTAGTGATATCTCACCATGGGCTTGGTGAGATGATTTAAATGACGATTTAAATCATCTCACATTTTAATGATGATGAGTAAAGTTGAACATGTTATTTGTGCTTATTTGATGTCTGTGTGTCCTCTTTGGGCAAGTGTCTGTCCTTTCCCCATTTTAGTTAGATTAGCTACAGTTCTTACAGTTGAGTTTTGAGAGACCTCTATTTATTTTCAAAACAAGTACTTTGCATTTGGGGATATTTTCTCCTACTCTGTAAATGGCTTTTTCACTGTTTTTGTTTGTTTGTTTTTGTGGTACTGGGGTTTGAACTCCGGGTCTTCACTTTGAGCCACTCCAGAAGCCCAATTTTTTGTGATGGGTATTCTCGAGATAGGCTCTCATGAACTTTTTGCCCAGGCTGGCCTCAAACCTTGGTCCTCCTGATCTCTGCCTCCTGAGAAGTGAGGATTACATGCGTGAGCCACCAGTGGTGCCTGGCTCATTGTCTTAATGATGTCTTTCCTAAAGCAAAGGTTTTAATTTTGAGAAAGTTAGGCTTATTATTTTTTCTTTTCTTTCTTATGCTTTTGCTGTCGTATCTGTGAATTCTGCTAAAGCCCAGGAAACCAAGAGTTCTCCCACCCCACCTTTTTTTCCCCAAAATTTATGGTTATAGGTTTTGCATTTAAACCTGTGACCTATGTGATCGTGTGGGTTTTCTTCTATAGGATGTAGTGTGGTAAATTACATTGATTTGAGGTTTTTAGGTATTAAACTAACCTTGCATTCCGGGCATAAATACCACCTGGTCATGGTGTATTATTATTTTTATATTTTGCTGATTTTGATTTGCTAATGTTTTATTTCTCATATTTGGCAAGGGGATTGAGACAGGGTCTTATTGTGTAGTTCAGTGGCCTGGAACTCACTATACCTGCACTGGCCTACAACTCTCAATCCTCCTACCTCAGCCTCCTGAGTGCTGGGATTACAGGAGTACATACTACACCTGGCTGTTACTGTTTTATAGAGAGTGTTGTGTCTATGATCATGAGAAGTGTTTGTTACAGTTTTCTTATTCTGTGCATTTCTAATATCTGGATAAAGCTACTTGCACAGAATCAATTGGGAAGTGTGCCATCCACTTCTATTTCTGGAAATTACATAGAATTGTGGTATATCATTCTTAAATATTTAGTGGAATTGGCCAGTGAAGTCAGCTGTGCATGGACATTTCCAGAATGTGCTTAACTACAAACTCAATTCTTTTAGTAACTTTAGGAAGTTCAGATTATGTGTTTCACATTGGGTGTTTGGGTAGTTTGTAGTTTTTGAGGAATTGGTCTGTTTCATCTAAATTGTCAGATTGATGAGCGTAGATAGCTCACAGTATTTCTATAACGTCATCTCAGTTGTCTGCTTTGTCTCTGTCGTTCTTCAGGTTCATAATCTGTGGATTCTGTTTTTCTTTGTCATCATTATTTGAGGGTATCAATTTCATTAATCCTGTCAATGAAATAAGCTTTTGGTTTCATTGGGTTTTTTCCATTTGCCCATTGTCACTCTCATTGTTTTCTATTTTTATTTCTTCTGCTTGCTTATGTTTTATGTTTTGTTATCTCTTCTTTTTCTTATTTTTTCTTTTTTGAGACAATACCTTGCTATGCAGCCCAGGATGGCTTTGAACTTGTGATCCTCCCAATTCAGCTTCTCAGGCACTGGGATCACAGAAATGAGCCACCACTCCTGGCCTTTTTCTGTTGTTTGTTTGTTTGTTTGTGGGAAGGGTTGGCAGTACTGGGTTTGAACTCAGGGCCTTGGCTTGCCAGGCAGGTGCTCTACCGTGGGAGTCATACTCCAGCCCTTTTTGCTTTAGTTACTTTTCAGATTGGGTCTTGCATTTATGCCTTGGCAGGCCTGGACTGCGATCCTCCTATTTCTGCTTCACTCATAACTGGTGTGATAGGCATTTGCCACAGTGCCCAGGTTTTATTGGTTGAGATGGGGTCTTGAGAACGTTTTTTGGTCAGGCTGGTCTCCAACCTCAATCCTCCCAATCTCCACCTCCCAAGTAGCTAAGATTACAAGCTTGAGCCACCTGGTCCATTTCTCTCTCTCTCTCTTTTTCTTGTACATGGTTTGAGATCAGGATTTCATGCTTGCCAGGCAGGTGCTGTACCAGTTGAGCCACACCTCCAGCCCTTCTTTTTCCTGTTTTGTTAAACTGGAAGTTCAGATTACCGATGCGAGAACTTTCTGATACAAATTGCTCCCTAAGCACTGACTTATCTACAGTCCACAGTAACATTTTACATTTTTATTTTGTCCAGTTGAAACATTTTCTAAATTTTCTTGAGACTTTCCTTTGGCCCATTGAATGTGTAGAAATATATTTCCAAGTTTGGAGATTTCTCTGCTCTTTGCCTTATTGATTTCCATCTTTGTTCCAGTAGAGAGAGCATAGTTTGTATTGTGCTCTTTGTAATTTGAAGGTTTGTTTTATGATTCAGGATGTGGTCTGTCTTGTGACTGTATCACATGTGCTTAAGAAGAACGTGTATTTTGCTACTGTTAGGTCGAATCATTTATAAATCAGTCAAGTTGATCAAGTTTGGGTGATTATGGTATTCAGTCTGTATCCTTGCTGATTTTCTGTCTGTCTTCTACTAAATACTGAGGAATGTTGATGTCTCCAACTATAACTGTATATTTGTATATTTCTCCTTTTGGTTCTTTGTCTAAAATTAATATAGTTACTACCACTTTATTGCTAAATGTTTCTTTTTCCACTCCCTTACCTTAAGCCTACCTATTTAAAGTGAGTTTCCTGTAAACAGCACCGCTATGGTTTTGATTTTGAGTATCCTCCAAAGGCCTATGTGTTGAATGGCTGGTCCCAGCCTGTGGAGCTGTTGGGAGGTGTTGGAGCCTTTAGGAGGTGGGGCCTGGTGGGAGGAAGTTAGGTCAGTGGGGGGAGGCCCTTACAGGGCAAATTGGGACCCCAGCCCTTCCTGTCTATCTTTCTACATCCGGGCACGTTGAGGTGGCATCTGCAGGTGCTTCCACCATGATGTACTGTGCTGCCATAGGCACAAGCAACAGGGCCAAGCAACCATGGGCTGAAACTTCTAGAACTGTGAGCCAAATACACTTTCCTCCTTCACAGCAACAGACAGCTATGACAAGCATGTTGTTGTTGTTTTTGAATCCATGACACGTTCTTTGGTGTGTTTGGAACATTTAAGTCTTCCTTTTATTTTTTTGTCAGTGTGGGAGTTGAACTCAAGACCTCACATTTGCTAGGGAAGTGCTCTATCACTTGAGCCACTCCACCAGCCCTGGGTCTTCCATTTTAATATTTGTTTTTCTATTTGTTCTCACTGTTTTTCAGCCTCTGTTTTCCCTTCCTGCTTTCTTTCTGAGAACTTTAGCATGTTTTAGTGTAGTATTCCATTCTAACTCACCTGTTGTCTTTGTTATGTGTCTCTATGTATGGCTTTTTAAAGTTGTTGCACTAAGAATCATAATATATTTACTTAACAGTCCACTTAGAATTCATATGTTACCTCTTCAAGTGGAATGTAGAAATCTTATCATGTTGGTTGCTCTATCCTCTTCCCTCCAGCTTGGTGGTACAGGGTTTTGAACTCAGGGCCTTGCACTTGCTTGGTAGGTTCACCATCTCCTCCAATCTGTAGGTTTATGCTTTGCCAAACTGGGGAAGTGATCAACCATCCTTTCTTCAGATGCTCTCTCTGTGTTCTCTTTCTCTTATGTGGCACTCATGATACAAATGTCAGGCACTTTATCTTACAGGTCCCTAAGACCCTGCTCATTTTTTTCTCTTTATTGTTCAAAATGGATGATTTCCCAATTCACAGTTGAGGCAACAGGACTTTTGATGTGTGATGTGACCTTCTCAAGGTCCCTCAATTGTGAAGAAACGGAGGCAGGACCAAGTAGATTTCCTGGCCACAAATCCAGGGCACTTACAACAGCTCTGTACTTTGATTTTGTGATTGGACTAAACCAGTGCTTTTTAGCATTGGTCCTGTGCAGTTTCTGTGGCTTGATGTCACATGAGGTAGAGAAGCTTGAGGCAAAATCTTTGGATCTTAGCCTCAGTGAGGTGTGGGTGGCACCCACAATCTGGAAGGGGTCACAGTTGTAGTTTGTTTCATAGGATTTAATTTGACTTAATTTCCAGGAGCTTTTATGAAAAAGTGTGTGTGTGTGTGTGTGTGTGTGTGTGTGTGTGTGTGTGTGTGTGTGTTGGCAGTACTAGAAATTGAACTTTGGGCCTCATGCCCAAGCAAGCCTAAGACCTAGAAGGATGCATAAGACATTCCCTGACTCTTGGACCCTACAGGCCCCAGGTGATCATCTGTTCCTTTCTGGCCTTGAGGGGTTTCCAGAAAGCTTTGGGGGAAAGTTTCTGAGTTTACAGAGATCCCTTTTCCCCCCAGTCCTCCAGGCCTCACACGAGCAGGAGAAAGAAGCCTTTACACACTCCTTCCAGGAGGCCAAAGCTGCCTTTCAGGTGCGAAGGGCTGGGCAGTATCAGTCTCTGGTATGGAGGGAAGAAGCATGGAGCCCTGGGAAGTCCAAATTGATGGCCTCTAGCTATGAGGAGCTGGGATGCCTGCCTTCTTTGTATCCTGCCCCTTGATGTGGTTAGCGGGTAATTAGCTCCACAGGGTTTGGTTTGCGATTGGGGTAGGCCTTGTTTTCTAAAGACACTGGGAGATGCCAGGGGTCTGTGTAAACACAGAAGCCACCCTGGGTGCTCAGGGAAGACTCCTAGAGGGAATCTGATCTGAGCTGGAACCTGAAGGATGGACTGGAACTCTTCAGTGAGGAAAGGCAGGCAGGGTGCCCAGGCAGATAGATTCATACACCTTGTTCAAAAGCAGGGAGGGAAGGGGGGAAACTAGGAATCATAAGGAGCAGAAAGAAACTCAGGATGCTGGGGTGCAGGTTGGAGTGGGAGAGAGGGTGAGGCTGGAGAGGTAAGCGGGCCAGAAGGTGGGAGCCTGTGAGCCATGTTAAGGGGTTGTACTCTGTCCCAAAGGTCATGGTCAAGGTTGGGTGGAGGAGGTCCCCGGCACGGAAAAGTTTGGCAACCGAAATGCACCTTCCAGTTGGGAGAGTGATAGGACATTTGGCTGCTTTGCAGACAGGAGCAGTGAGAGATAAAACTGGAGAATCTCTGGAGCCTGGCGGGGGTGGGCTTTGGATGCCAGGCTAAGAGTGGCCTTGAGTACAAGTATATTGGCACCAAGGATTTAGGGAGCTATTAAAAGCTGTACAGCAAGAGGTAGGACTGGGATGTTTGAAGCTAGTTGAAGTAGGTTAAACCTGCATTGATTGTTGTGTAGGGCAGACCAGAGACAGACTGAAGAACCCGAAACATTTCTCTGGCACACAGTGAAGTCCACCTCGATGAGCCAGGCTCTGATCATCTCCCTCCTGCTCCCTTCTCCAGGACACCATAGCGAGACTGACCTCACAGCTAGAGGTATTTCAGGCCAAGATGAAAAGGGTAGAAGAGTCCACTCTAAGCCAAGACTATAAGAAGCACATCCAGGTAGGTGCAGAACACCCATGAAACTTTCCTCCTTAAAACTCCAGGGAGGTCAGCGTTGGGCAGATGGAGAGGCCAGGCCCTCTTCAAGGGCCTGACACTCTCACCTTCACAAGGGCCTAGAAACAAAAGGGTGCCCATTTCACTGACAGGTAGGGTGAGGCTCAGAAACAGGTATATGTATGGCAAAGGGCACAGCCTCTACATTCAGAGAGAGCCAGGTGCAAATAGCAAACCTACCACTTAGCACAGGCAGCTCATCCTACCTGACCTGAGCACCCTCACCTATGCAGATGCTAGAACATGCCTTAAAGGGTGTCGCTGGGGTAAAATGAAATGGACAGAAACACCATGGGTGAAGAGAGGGAGGCAGCTTGTGCAAGTCCAACAGTGAGCTGGTGGTAGAATGGAGAGGTAGCCCATGCCTCTTTTTTTACCTGCTGGTCTCACAAGGTCACTTTGTGTCCCTGTCTAGGATTACGGGAGCCCCAGCCTGTTCTGGGAGCAGGAGCTGGAGAGCTTGCACTTTGTCATCGAGATGAAGAATGAGCGGATTCACGAGCTGGACAAGCAGCTGATCCTCGCGGAAACAGTGGTCCGTGGCTGGGGGATGCAGCCTCCCCTGAAGCTTCTGGCATTTCCCTTGTAAAGTGTGCAGCCAAGGCCCCAGCCTGGTTCATATCAGCTTTGGCTGGCCACCAATGCAGACCATCTGAGGCTGATCTGTGGCTCCACAAGTGGCTCCATGTCATTCAGAGCTTTTCTTGGCTATTCTTGTGCTGTAATTTGGGCAACAGAGGGGCAGGTAGCCTGGCTAATCAGGAGGGGCTGGCAGATGTCACATGCCTAGCAGGGGCTTAGGAAAGAAGTGAGACTGAAAGTTCAGGCAGCTGTGGGAGGCCAGCACCAACAAGGACGGGGCTGGGGAGCTGAGGGCATTGAAGACCTGGGTGGCTTTGTCTGCAGGACATCATAGGCCTCAGAATCCTAGGGCAGAATACAAATAGACTGTGTTGTTCTGGAAGAGATCTCATCAGCCACACAAGTTCATACATCTCAAATGTACCCTATACATTTTTGTTGAACTATTCTTCAAGAAAAGTATAGCAGACTAACTTAATTTTTTATATAGATAATGTCTTTATGACTTTTTTTTTTTTTGAGACAGGATCTTACTATGTAACCCAGACTGGCCTTGAACTCACCACCTCCTACCTCAGCCTCCCAAGTGCTGGGATTATAGGCATGTACCATCATAACCCCACTTCCTTACCACTTTTGAAGAACAAACAATATCCTTGCTTCTATGAACTAATGGTGCCATGAGATGATAGGGGCTGTATTTTTCTTTTAACGTTCTCCTGTAGCAAAATTCAAAGTTGGCAGCTCTTTCTTAACTTGTTACTTTTATTTTAGACTACCTTAATCCTCTGAGATACAATATCTAGTCTACAATGAATCAGTGTTTTATGGGGTCACAGATGAAAGGGAGATTATAGCAGGCACTATGCCCATTGAGTATGGCAGCTTTCTGAGCTCCTTCTGGTTTGTTACAGAAAGAAAAAAATCTGATGTTAGAGGAAAAAATAACAACCCTGCAGCAGGAGAATGAGGACCTCCTTGTCCGAGCCCAGAAGCAGGCAATGATGTCAAGGTAGCTGTCCCCACTGCCTCCTCCTCCAACTAATCTCTTTCACTAAAACCTGCAGTTTAAAGAGTCTCAGGGGAGCCTGGGAAAGGAATTGACAGGTAGGCCTAGGGCCTGTCTAGCGAATGTGGCTCTTCTTTCCTTGGGAGTCAGGATCCATGTTTTCCAGCATGGGGAAGAGGAAACAAAGTTTGGAACTGAGCAGGCCTGTGTGGGATGAATCAGTTCTATGGACTTTGTACATGAGAGCTGCTACTGTGTGTCAGGCACAGATTATAATTTACACATTTTCTCATGGCATCCTCATAAAGATTCTGTGAGCTGGCTCCTATTATTACTACTGTTTTACAAGTGAGGAAACCGAAAGTCAGTAAGAGCGAATCACAAATCACTTGTCCCAGATGACCCAGCTAGGTGGTGGGGTGGAGCTTTGCAGCAACCCAGAACTGTCTGCCTATGGGGACTTGGTTAACAGATTGAGTTGCCTGTGGCATCCAGGCAAAGGACAGGTAGGAGGAATAGAGAGTAGGCTGGTGGGAGGGCTTCCTGGGGGAATGGATTGGTCCCTACTGCAACTGCTCCCACAGCCAGTATGTCACCCCAGACTCTTTCTGCACCCACAGGCAGCTCTCAGAGGACCTGCTTCTGGCCCAAAAGACCCTGGAGGAGGAGTCACGGGTACGGCGACAGCTGCAGCAGGAGAAGGAGGAGCTGCTGTATCGGGTCCTTGGAGCCGATGCCACCTCCACCTTCCCCCTGGCCTCTGTCACCCCCACAGAAGTCTCCTTCCTCGCCACATAATGGGCAGGACCTGGGCCCACCATGACACCTGTGCTCACAGCCCCCTCCAAAGACTTTCTGGAGGAGACAACAAGAGTGTCTCAGTTCTCTTCCCAGGAGGGAACAGGGTGGGAGTGAGGGGGGAAGCCTGGGTTCACGAATGCCCAGGGAGCCCTTGAGCCTGGGTCATGAGGACCACCCACAGGGCTTTGAAGGCGCCTCTCCTCTAGTTGGCCTGGGGATCAAGCAAGAGGAGCCCTTTCCTCCTGCCCCTTTCTGCCCAAATCAGTAAGTGCTGAGGCTTTTCCCAGGTGGCCTGTGCTGCTTTGGCCATCTGACAAAGGAGACAGCTCCCAGGCCCAGCTCATCAGCTTTGCTGCTGACTTATCTACTGTCAGCATCCCCCAACTGTTCCCACATGTGCCCTCTCCCTCTGTCAGCCTCAGCTTACCCCCACCCTAAGATGTTGAGGTGACAAGATGGCCTGTCGCTGCCGTGTCTACCTCCAGGATCATCTGAAGGTTAGACTAGGGGTTGAGTGGTGGACACACGCTATGAGTCAGAGCAGGAAGGGCAACTGTTGGGAGGGAGTCCCTGCAGGCCCCAGGGTGACCGGAGAGGCAGCCACCCTAGCCAGTATCACTCTGGTGCCTGAGTGGTCAGCCCCGGGGGCAGTGGCAGTCACCAGGCCTGACTCATCCTCCTGCCCTCCTGCTGCTTCAGTCTCAGTGCCACCTGGCCCCAGGGGCCACCTTAGCAGGTCTGAGGATCCTCAACAGGCAGGACTGAAAGGGAGGGGGTGTGGCCTCCACAGACTCAGAACTGGGACCTCTCCTGTTGTCCGGGTCCTACCTTTCCTGTTGCTCTGTGTTCTCCCAGGCTCTGGTGAAGTCAGTATATGACTTAGTCTTTCTCTGCCTTCCTCTGCCTATCCCCATCACAGTCTCTCTTTCACTCCTCTCTGCCTTCACTCCTCCTGCCACCCTGGACCCCAGACCCTGGTCCTGGGCTCCCATATGGCCCTCAACTTCCCCATCAGTGAGAAGAGGTGGCACAGCAAGTGACCTCAGCAGGGCTGTGCAGTGGACAGTCTATGGCTTTCAGGTCCTTCTCAGGAACTTCAGGTAGCTATATTTCAGGATCCTATACTACCCTTCCTCCTGCATAAAACACTGCCATCAGTCCGCTGATCATCAGGAGATCCTTGAAACAGGTTCTTACCCCTCTTTTGCAGCAGAGCAAGCTGAGGCCACAAGAGCCAGAGGTCCATGCCTGAGGCCACCCAGTTCAGCCATAAGCTGTTGACCAGCTCATAGGAAAAGCCAGTCCACATTTTCCATCAGTTGACCTATGGTGGCATCATCCCAAACAAACCACCTCTCCACTCCCCTGGATACCATCTCCATCCATTTCTGGTTCTTGAAGTTCAAGTGTGACTGTTTCCCTACTGAGCATCTGAGAAGAGGTCAGGCTCCGGGAGTGCAGAACTGCTTGTCCAGCCATGGCTGGTCAAGTCTCTGGGAACCTCAAGATTGAAGTGCACATGGAATGGTCCATGTAACTTTTTCCGAAACACATCCGGTGTGCACTAGTTTATTAGACATTAATAGGCATGACCAAAAAGGAATCAGTGGTCCAGAATCTCGGGAAACTCTAGGTTTAATCCAGTTAAATAGATCAGCAATCTTTAAAATGCTAGTGTGTGTTGCCAATTTCCAAGAAGGGAGCAAAGTATCCAGCATCTTCCAAATTTCTTTGACCAAGCTGCTACTCTCCCACCCCACCCCGCCCCACCCCCCAAAGCACTTCAGGCTGCAGAATGCACTTTAGAAAGCATCCTTTTAATTGAGAGAGGCTGGGCTGGTGAAGGGGAATGCTGTAGTGAGCAGGGGTTTCCCTCATGTACCCTAAGCTGGACTGAGGAGGTGAGCTGTGGTCATCCCCTTACTCTGGGGCAGACAAGCTGTAGAAAGTAAAAGAACATGGCATGTCTCCGTTAGTTGGTCTCTGTGTCTTCCCAGGAGGAGAAAGAGGTGGGTCTTCTGAGGACTCTGCCAGTGGCACGGATCTTGAAGATACCCTGGGACCTGGTGATCCACCAGAGGTTCTGGGCTCCCTCTTCATGTACTGGGGTTCCACAGGCTCAGCTGTGCTCCAGCCTTAACTGAAGCCTGGGGTTAGGGTGATGGCTAGATCGAACATTGGCCTTCATATGGGTCAGGGCATGGAGCGAGGCCAGGGTGGAAGTGAGGGTGAAACACAGTGATGGGCTGGAGGGTACAAAGAGCCAGTAAGCAGGTGATTTCTGCCACTCACTGTGGGGCAGAATTGGCAAAAGCAACACTGAACTTCCTACAGGTAGTTACCCCTGTTTCTGCCCATTGCTGCAGCCAGAAAAGGAACTAAGAAGGGGTACAAGAACTAAGAGGGCTTCGGGTCACACAGCCACAGGTGGTGGCAGAGCCTGTGCCATGAAGGTTGGTAACCCAGCAGGTGTAGAAGCCAGTATCCCCAGCCCAAGTCTCTTCCTCATACAGGGTGCTCTCTGCCTCCTGCTGTACCTGATCGTCCCGGTGTATCACATTGGCCCACTCACTGACATAGGGGACAAAAAGTAACTGTCCATTCCTGGTGCCATCTCAGAGTGAGGCACCAGCGAGCAGGTAAGAGGCACCATGTAGCCCTTCAAGGAAAGGGAAGTGACTTGCCCAAGGTCACATTTGGCATCGGGCCATCTTAAAGGTCAGGTTCTTTGTGAAAACCTTTATGCTTCATGAGTTCTTGGAGAGAAGCTGATGTCTCCTCCCTGACTCAAGAAATATTCCAGAGGTAATGGCTCAGCACAGGATTCTCTGACATGGTTTCATGGTTGTCTGGTTCTGCAGGGATGTCATTAGCACTACCTCCCCAAAGATACAATGCGGATTCTGTTATCAGACAAGTTTGGGAGATTTGAGTCAAACCACGAAGTCAGGAGACAAACCTCTGACAACTTGTGCGCATGAGTGTTCTCACTCTGCCAAGCAAAGGGTGATGATTAGAGGAGCGCTTTCCTGAGATCACATTTCTAGACATGGGGCAGGGTGGGAGAGAACTTGTTGGCATTCTACCACCCCCAAGCACATGCATGGAGAAATGATGGCTTAGCAAATCCATGTGGTTTCCAAACCATCTCTCTTCGTGGGCCTCCATTTCCTCTTATGACAAGCAGGAGAATGATCCTTCATGCTTCTTGTGGCCTCTGTGGGATCCATCTTTCTGGGGCCAGCCCTGGGCCAGCCACTGCAGGGATGAACTCGGGGTCAGAATGTGTGGCTCAGCTCATGTAGAGGTGGCACTGCAGCAAATTTTTTTTTTTTTGGCAGTACTGGTTAAACTCAGGGTCTTGTGCTCGCTAGGCAGGCGCTCTTACTCCTTAAGCCACTCTGCCAACCCTTTTTGTGTTGGGCATTTTCCAGATAGGGTCTCAAAAACTATTTTCCCGAGAGTGGCCTTGAACCATGATCCTCCTGATCTCTGCCTCCTGAGTAGTTAGGATTACAGGAGTGAGCCACCCGTACCCTGCAGCACGCTGCATTTTAAGTCAAGGGGACAGAGCACCTTGCTGTGTTCCACAGCCCTCCCTTCCAGGGCTGCTGTCAATGGTGATCTTGTGAATGAGACACAGTTTGCTGAGCACCTTACTTCCCTGTGTGTCCTACATTTTTCTTAAGTGATCCCAGCTGGGTGATAGCCCCCATGAGGTCTCTCCACTCCACTCTTTTCCCCAGGAACTACCCAGGGTTGGCTCCTGTCCCCTACGGTTCCCCTGCATTCTCAGCAGGTCAAGTGGTAGGAGAGGTAACTCTCTGGGTTTTGGGTGGGGGACATGCATCTTTGCTCTTCTGCTGCATGTGTCTGGAAGGCCTTGTGTTCACCTAAACCCACCCTTCAGGTCTCCTTTCAAACTCCAGCCCTTCCAGGAAGCTCTGTAAAAATTCCCTGGAGTCCTCACTGTTGGTAGCACACTGTTTGGCACAGCTGTTCTCCAGATATTTGAAGCTGATGGGTAAACTCTTCAAGACAAAGAACATCACCACCATCGCATCTCTAACACTGTGTTGGGAGGTCTTGGCCCACCATGGATGCCCAGGACACAGCCATTAACGTGTCTGGCCTGCATCTACCTCTCTCTGGCCCACATCTGTCTCCCTTTGTCTCCACACACATACATTCACAGGGCCTGAGCACTTGCTTCCACTCCATCTTCCTGTGGCTGGGGTCACTCTGGCTATGCCCGGAATTAAAGTTACTCTCTGAACACTATGTTAAGAGGACCCGGTCCCATCACTTCATTTTGTTCTCGTTGGACCACCTGACATCCCCAACATGATTATGTTTGTCTTATTTCCCATTTCCTGCCCCCTGCTTACACTGGCAGCTTGTGGAGAGCAGAAGCCATGTCTCTTTTGACTTGCTGTAGTCTCAGCTGCTACTACAGTGGCAGGTGGTGGGTGCTCAAAAATTATTGTTAGACGTATTTACAAAGGAACAAATGATACATTATCAGTGACCCGAGAAGTAGTTCTATTTGACAAATGGAGAAACAGAGGCTCAAGTTAAGGGAAGTAAGGCACTCAGAAGCACTGTCAGTATGGGCACTAGAAACCAGGTTCATTGGACTCCCCATCAAGCAGTGGTTCCATTCTGCAATGATCACCCTTGGCCTTCATCCCAATTCCTCACACCCCTGTCCCAGTCCACTGCCACCACATACACACACATCCCCAGCCTCCTCTTCCCCTCCTTACCTTCTTCCCAGGATATTCCCAGCTGATGTCCACAGCAATCTCTGGTTCACTCAGAACTGTACAGGTCACACTGGAGTTCTCCCCTAGTTTTACTGACATTGCTGAAGCATGGATGGTGGGTTTAGGGGATGAGGATGGGTCTGCCATGAAAAGAGGGAAGAGGATATGGGGATGGACATTTTGGCTGGTTGTTAGAATGGCTGGATTGAGGGCAGGTAAGTGGTTGGAGAAATGAATTAATGAGTGATGAGGATAAACAGTAAATGAATGGAAGGAAAGTTTAAATTGGTGAGTGCTGAGGTGGTCAAGTTGATAGAGGATGTGTGAATGAGTATTTACAATAAATGAAGCATTGGTGAATAATGAAATGGACTGATGGGGTGGATGAATGGCTTGACTGAGATGGATGGTGTGACTTGAATGAGAATGGATAGATAGGCTGCACTGTTGCAGGCTAGCTTGATGGCTGATTGGATGTTATAAAAGCAACAGGTGCTCTGGACAAAATGATTAACTACATGTCGTTGTGATTAAACCCATCGGGTGGTTTAGAGTTCCATGATTCACATAATCCCAGACTCAAGGTTCCCAAAGGTGGTATCTCTCCCCAAATCCCTGCCCCTCCCCACCCACCCAGAGCCCTGGGCTCACGCACAATTGACATAGATCAGCATGTACTTGGTAGATATTTGATGCCACCTAGGCTGGCCAAGCAGAAGAGGGAGCCAGCCAAGGAAGCCTGGGGCCGGTGGATGGTGAAGTCTTTCTTCACATCGAAGGAGATGTCTGTCCCATCCACTGGGACCTCTTCGGTGGGAAACTCCAGTACAGGGTCACCTGAGCCAGGTGATTGGTCACCTGACAGTGAAGCAGGGCAGGCTGGTGGGTGTGGAGCTGCACCACCACATAGTAGTTCTCTGTAGGGACAAAGTCCTCCGGGTTTGGGGATGAAGGAGAGAGGAAATTCAGCTTGGGAAGATTGCTGCTTCCTGATAATCTAGCACCCAGGTTCCTCATGGGGAATTGAGACCTCACTTTCTCTGCCCTTCCCCATTCTTCAAGGGGATTCCTTCTCATAAGTGATCCTGAACTTGAGGTGCTAAACCAGCTGCCTCACTCCAGTTCTGTCTTTAGCTTGCTGTGTCTCTTAAAATCTCTTTCCCTCTTTCATGAGACTACATGGTCTCTAAGACCCTTCTATATCAAAAATATTACAGGAAATACTGACCTTGAAGTCAGGGTTTCTGGTTGGATTCTCAGTCAGTCCTGCCACCTGTGGGACCTTAAGCAACTCACTTTCTTCCTCTGAGACTCACTCCTTCTCCTATGTTAGTTGGGAGCAATAATCCCTTTCTGGCCTATTTTATAAAGCTGATAAGAAGCAAATGAGATATTGGATATGCGACACCAGGCCCGTGGGAAACACACATTCATTGCACTCTTTCAAGACACTTTTACAACAAACTCAGGTCAGATTCTGGGAGCACAATGGTGCAGTGAGAGGGAATTCTCTGAGGACCAGTGTTCTAGAGCTGTGCTAGCCAACTGAACCTTCTGTGGTGACGACAATGTATCTGCATTACTCAATGTGTGGCTACGGGGCACCTGGAGTATAGCTAGGGCAACTGAGGAACCAAATGTATCTTATTTAATTACACTCAAACAGTACATTTGTTTAGTAGCTTCTGAATTGGGTGAAGTGGCTTAAAGTTACACAAATGTGGCTCTTAATTTTGCACATTAGAATTGCCTGAGATGGCGTTAAAGTGACCAGTTCCAGGGTTGGTGGAGGTTCAAGTCATAGAGCGCCTGCCTAGCAAATGCGAGGCCCTGAGTTCAAACCCCAGTACTGCCAAAAAATTTAAAAATAATAAGTAAAATGACCAACTCCTGGGCATCACCCCAGACCAAGTAAATCAGAACATGCCTTGGAGTGGAGGGCTTGGCGTCTCTCATTTTAAAGCTATGTGGGTGACCATGGTGTGCAGCCAGAGTTGGGAAGCACTGACTACTTATCCCCAGATCTCCTCTAAGTCACCTGTCGGGCTTGGTCTTACAGGTTTCCAGACCCTACCCAGTTTTTAATGGGAATGGAGCCCAGGAATTTGTTTTTTGGTTTGTTTTTTTGTTGTTTAAGACAGAATATCACTATGTTCCCCCAGGCTGGTCTCAAAACTCCTGGGCTCAAGGGACTCTCCTGCGTCTACTTCCCGAGCCGATGAGACTACATGTGTACTCCATCTTGCCAGGCTGTAATCTGTGAGAGTTTTTGTTGTGGTAGTACCAAGATTTGAGCTCGGGACCTCCCGCTTGCTAGGGCAGACACTCTACCCTCTGAGCCATGTCCTCAGCCCTTCTTGCTTTGGTTATTTTTCAGATAAGGTCTCTGGCCACATCAGCCAGACATCCTCCTACCTATGGCTCTCACATAACTGGGGTTACAGGCATACACCACCACTCCCAATTTATTTGTTGAGGGGAGGGGGCGGGGTGAAGTCCTCAGGAACTTTTTGCCCAGGCTGTCCTCGAACCGTGACCCTCCGAATCTCTGCTCCCTACCCCTTCCCTACCCACCCACCCGCAATAGCTGGGATTACAGTTATGAGCTACCACATCCGGCCCGGAAACGTGTTTTTAACAGATACCGGTAATCAGCCAGGGACAAGAACCTAAAGGTTGGATAATTACTTCCGCTCCGGCTCGGTTTGCGTAGGAGAGATGCTGACTCTTGCATTTCCTCTGTTGGTCTCTGACTAGTGGTTCTCCAAGGATCTAACCAAAAAATGTCCCAGAAGGATCTTGGAGAGTGAGTAGCATTCTTCTAGTCTTACACATGGGTCTAAAAGGAACACCTCAAGACTTATGTTTGAGAACTCTCCCGGGGACGGATTCCTGGAGACCCTAACCCTAGGGCACCTGTGAAGATGAAGGTCTGTCCCTGGCGGTCCTGGCCTCTGCGTACGCGCGAGCCTGGCCATGCCGCGCCCAGCAGCGGTACTCCCCGGTGTTCCGCGCCCGTGGAGTTCGCGAGCAGCAGCTGGCTGTGCCGGCCAAAGTGCTTGATCCTAAAGACAGTGGGCGGGGCGGGACACGAGATGGGGACGTCCCGAGTCACCTCGCGGGCGATATTTGGTCAGCAGACATTCCTCCACCCCCTCACCACGCACCCACCCAATCTTCCCCACCTTCCCCTAGGAGTCTGAGAACGTGTTGGCCCCACCCCCAGTTTCTGATTGGCTCGCCTAACCCGGTGACCTCATGCCCGTAACTTCTCATTGGGCCGACACCTTGCAAAGGGAATCTCCCGACAGCCTTTGCGCTCCTTGGTACCTTCGCTGTGGACCTGCGTTCGGCGAGCAAACGCGCTCCCCGCGCCGCAGTGTGCGTGAGGAGGCGGAATCCCAGCCATTTCAGTCTTTGCGGGGAGACGGGCTGCAGCTGTATCTAACAGGGTGCCCAGGATGGGTTCTGAGACTTGAGATCCTGGAAACTGTGGTCATTGTGCTTGTGGCCTACTCCCTAGAAACCTGTAGCCGACCCCTGGGCCCCTTCATGTTTTTCCCAGCACCCTCCACGCGTACCTTAGGCGCCCCTCGCCCTCTTCCC